AACGATATAGCCAAGATAAAATGATAGTTTTGTAACACACAAACACATCCTCTTAATTAAAAGACGCGAAACCTAACCGTACGTCATCATTGTATTATTTCTTATATGTTCAACCAATAATCATAAAGTAAGATTGACGTAGTTGTGAGAGTTAAAAATTGTAGCATACAATAGTACAACACATGTTTCCCGTTTGCCAACTATGAGTTGCTATTTTGGGACGGTGGTAATTACAGAGTATCAGAGAAGTAAAAAGTGCTGCATGCTCTTATTTGGCCTGGCCTGTTTAGTTGATATATGGTGTACCAAAATCACCATACATCAAAATGTAATATGTCACTGTTTCTCACATGTGTTCCTGTTTATTTTGTCGTAAAATATCTAATTTTGTTCCCTCGTTTTACATTTCATGTGGATGACAATTTAGCTCATCCTAGTAAAGGAGAATCATGTTACATCCCAGACCCTACCACTATAAAGACTTGCCCATCCACTTTTCCTTTCTTTAGTATTGTTCTTTTCTGCCTTTTGTATAACATGAAAAAATTATGTGCTTAAACTATGCAAGACGCCAAATTCATTGAACTTATTATTTATGTCTTGTTATAGGCCATATATGTCTTTTATTGTCAATAAATATATCATACTCACCCTAAATAAGTGACTCTTACAAAAATATACAATTTCGCTACTCCCTTTGTTTCAAAAAGATTTACATTATTTTTTTGTTAGTCCATTTAAAAAAGAATGACATCTTTCAATATTTTCTCAATATGAAGCACTTATAGCCACACAAATGCTATTATAGATTTCATATCTTGATGTTATGGTGAGATTAATCTATTCTTACTCAGATATCTTGAGTTCGAGCAATAAAAATAAAAAAAATTCTTATAAAAAGTATTTTCTTCTTTAATGAGTCTCACGCAACATAAATTTGGATATCCCAAGTAGTCGAACCGCAAATGCTGGTGCGGACGGACATTGGATGAAATTTATTTTTATTTTTAATTAAAAAAAAACTTTTACTATAACATTAATTTAGATCTCCATAGCGAGGACAGCCCCCCTCCTTACCTGTCATACCACATTTACACGTGCGTTATTATCCAATTAATATTCGTTTGGCGACTTCAAAACTAACCACACATTTTTAAAAATCCAAGGTACTGGGGGAAGAGGGGCCACCAATAGGAAAAAATAAATTAGTATTTGAACATAAGAATGCGAGCACCACGTAACAAAAATGACTAGTAAAGATTATTTTTCTGGCTTTCAATTATGATAAGGTAATTAAAGATGGAGGTATTCGTTAACTTTCTTTTTGAATTAACATAAAATTAACTACTCTGAAACTTGTGTGAAAGAGGAATTGTATATGTACCTAACTATAACACTAAGAGAACAGTAATTATTTTGCCTATTGGGAGACAAACATTGCCTTTCACTTCCGTTTAAAATCACAACCTTAACAAAAAGTTTCTTCTCTAAAGAATCTGATGCACAGATCGTTTGAAAAGGAAAAGAAAAGGCCAAATCAGAGTGGTCCTACGTACATCCGTTACCTGGTGGACTATGAACAACACATATTTTACTCTCCCTTTATCATATATTTTATTTAAAATAAAACAAAAACACGTGATCCATGGCCATTTTTTATTTTTCATTTTTATTCGCAAAAAGCAATATCCGTACTATCAGGCTTTCACAACACATAGGGAAAAGCTTCCACTAAAGTAACTATATGTGAAAATTTACACATGGACAAACATATATGTCGCTCATGTTTCGATTTTTGCGTCTCTTCCGTTTTGAGTGATAAAACTACGAATTCTGATTAATAATTTGATGAATTAATCCATTGACTCCATCTCTCTTTCAACTTCTTTAACCAGTATCTCTCTGGCTGCATACGATGACAAAGAATATACATACTTTATACCATAAGAGCTACCAAAATAAATAAGCGTTGATGACTTCCTTTTTCTTCATCATTTTTGGTTTGCAATTTTTAGTTTTATGTTTCTAGCACTTGTTTTCTTTATGTCACTAGTAGTGAGGAGAAATTTTTCAAAAAAGTTGGGTTCTCACCTATAGGCAATTAAAATTTGATTGAATTTAAATCCATAAAAAATTTGGATTTAATTTCAATTAAATGTATTTCGGTCCAAATAAATATTATGGGTTAATATATTTGGACTAATGATTCAAATCCAATAAATATGAATTTAATAAATAGGTCCAAATGCGTTGGTCTAAAAGTGATGAATTCACTTCATTAGGCCCAAGATGTCATCTTCCTGGAGGCCAGTTTGGTGCCCCGTGTCAAATGACGTGGCGCGCCAAGTCAAACGCAAGAGTCAATAGGATCATGCCACGTGTCAATGAGAAGGCATGCCAAGTCACATTAGAAGGCCAATGAAGCCGCGCCACGTGTGCAAGTGACATGTTTTGGCCAATCAAATGCGGTCATGTCACACTTCAATTTGATTGGTCGGAAAGAGTTTGTTCTTATCACAACTCCTCCATTCCACAACTAGAAATAGGGGTCTTCATAACCCAGAAAAGACACCAGAAGTTATAACAAGAAGCAAGAAAGAGCCCGTGGATCAAACGCTGCAAATTCCTCCACAAGTTTCAAGCTTCAAAGTAATCAAGTTCAAGCTCAAGAACGAAGAACAAATCAAGTTCAAGCTCAAGACGAATAAAAAATCAAGTTCAAGTTCAAGCAATCAAGCTCAAGAACAAGATTATCGTTCGTGGCAGTTCAAGCTCAAAAACGAAGAAACAAATCAAGTTCAAGCTCAAGACGAATAAAAAATCAAGTTCAAGTTCAAGCAATCAAGGTCAAGCCCAAGAACAAGATCATTGTTCGTGGCAACAACTACATATTCAAGATTAAGCTCGAAGGCCCCTAAATTTATTTACTATTGGAAAGAAGGCTCGGAGGATTCATAAAGATTGTACACTCATATTAGTTGAAATCAAATACTTCGATTGTTGCAAAATATTCAGTCTGATTTTATTTTTTTGACAAAAATTTATTGTCTACAACAGCTTCTATTAAATTCAATTTTTGTATATTTTTAAACATAAATTTATATTGCGCTATTGAATTCATCAAATAAATTTGGTATTATAAAGCTACATCCGCCTTGGTCTACCTGGCTTACAGTTTTTGATTTAGCGTAAACCTTTCTGGGAATAGTGATTAGATCTAGAAAATAATAGAAAGGGCACGTCAAAAGCGATAAAAATTTACTACTCCTTGGTTTCACATTAAAAGAAATATCAGAAAAGAAAAAGTAAGTCAGTGCAAATTTACTAGCGTTTGATGTATTCGCTGCTTATGCTAAGTGAAACCCGACCAACCGATCATTCACCGTACAAATTTGTTGCCACTTTTATGTTGGAGCAGGTAGGTGCTGTTGATAGAGATATAGAGACATCGAGAGATAATGCTGTCCGGAAAAATCTTTAAGGTTATAAGTGGCATTAACGCGAGTTTCAGTATCTCTTTGTTTAAGAGTAAATTCAATTGCCCCAATAAATGGTGTACAAGATACTTTATTCAGCTAAAACTTTTAAAAAAATTGCTTATTTTGAGAGAGTTTCAGAAAAATACTTTTGATAGAGTAACATTTTGTGTTTTGCTAAATTACTTTATATAGAAACACTTCTCTTGATATTAGACAAGCGACTTATATTAGGCCAGTCTTTGCAAAATATGCTTTTGAACGTCCAATTACCAAAAAAGATGTAAATACTCACTGAATAAATTAATGATTTGAAATTTTTATTTTGAGAGTCTTAATTAAGTTTTAAACTTTATTGAATTAAAATATAAGAATGAAAACTACCAAATAAAGAGAGGAAGCAAGTTTGTGAGACTTTGGTCATAGATGTGTTGTTCACTGGCTAGCTTTTGGGAATAGATTGACAAATATAATTTTTTGTAAGGGTACTTTAATCTTTTAGATTTTAAAACAACTTTTGTTTCTGCTTCTAAGATGAAACACCATAAGTTCTCCGAGATAAGCACTTATAAGGATAAAAAGAAGAAAGAAATTCAGAAACTTGGGCACCAAATAACTGGTGAGTAAGAGGAGTTCCTACAAACTGCCTTTAAGATATAATCTATGTTAACTTGCATTACGTTCCAACAAAATCAGATTTAGCATTCTTTAAGAACTACAAATTATCTAACTTGACTAAAGAAGTTTTGCAGAGTAAGCTGAGCATAATCTACATGAAGAGGTAGAGAGATTTTCTTGCAAATTTTTTTTATTTGAAATATATTGTTTATTAATTCTATGGATCGAGCTATGTAAACCCTAGCTGAGGAGAAGAAGGATATGAGCTGAAGCAGAAATGCAGAAACTGATTCTGTTAAAACTGAAAAATGCACTGTACAAACTCCCCCTATTTATAGAACTGACTAACCAACTTTGGATACCTAACTAACTAATATTAGATAAACTAAACTACCCTTAGTTTATTACGCATTAAGTTACCCCTCTTACAACCCCCCCCCCCCCCCTCAAGTTAGGTGGTGTAAACACATCAAACGCACCTAGCTTGGAACTTAAGTACTCATGTTGGATTCCGCTCAATCCATTTGTCAACAAATAAGCCTGTTGTTCTCTTGTTCCAACATACTTGGTCGCAACCAATCCTTCCAATATCTTCTCCCTTATCAAGTGACAGTCTATATCAATATATTTTTTTCGTTCATGAAATACTGGATTTTCAGCAATTTGTATTGTTGCCTTACTGTCACAATGAATGTTCACAGGCAACTGAGCCTCAACTCCTATCTTCTTTATCAGACCAACTAGCCAAACCAACCCAGCAATTGTGGCTGCCAAACTCCTGTATTCTGCTTCAGCAGAACTTCTAGACATTGTTGTTTGCTTCTTAGACTTCCAGGACACTAAAAAACCACCTAGCTTAATCAAGAAACCTGTTACAGATCTACTAAAATGTTGGCACAGTCTGCATCACAGAATGCCTCCAATGTGCCTGTATTTTTGCTGTACATCAATATTACCCTGCCCAGGATGGTTTTTGAAATATTTAACAATCCTTATTGCTGCCTCCATATGTGATCTCTTTGGTTGCTGGAGAAACTGACTTAGCATTTGCACACTGAATGCCAAGTCAAGCCTTGTCACAGTCAAATATAACAACTTGCCTATTAATCTTCGATAGATTCCTAGATTTTGCAGTAGCTCATCTACAGCATTGCTTGAAGTACCCAGGTGATCATCATACTCCCTGGTAGTAAATTTTGCATTTACTTCTAGTGGAGTACCTACAAGCTTTGCTGCTCCAAGGCCAAGTTCATAGATAATCTCTAAAGCATACTTTCTCCGATGCATAAGAATCCCATCTGCAGATTTGGCAAACTCTATTCTTAGAAAGTACTTCAACTCTCCCAAATCTTTCATTTTGAATGTCTGGTGTAGTGTTGTCTTTGTCTCTCCAATTAGACGTAGAGAGGTATGGTGACTAGCATGTCATCTACATACGCTAGCACTATCACTGTGAATTCAACAGTCTTCTTAATGAACAAAGAGTGATCATGGCGGCTCTAAGCAAAGCCAAAGTGATATAGAGCTTCTGTGAGTTTCTCATTCCACTATCTGGGGGGCCTGTTTAAGGCCATATAAGAATTTATGAAGCCCGCACACTGATTTAGACTCCTCCTGGCTTCTGAATCCTGGTGGCAATTGCATATAGATATCATCAAAGAGATCACCCTAAAGAAATGCATTATACACATCCATTTGATGGATGTGCCATTTCTAAGTCGTAACTATAGATAGAACATTCCTAACTGTCATCATTTTCACCACACGTGAAAAGGTTTCTTGATAGTCAATCCCCTCCTTTTGATTGTTCCCTTTATCAACCAACCTAGCCTTGAATGTCTCCACCTCAGCTGATGCCTTGTATTTGACCTTATATACCCATTTACAACCAATTGGAACCTTTCCTTGAATAAGTGAGACAATGTCCCAAGTGTGAATGATTTCCAGTCCTTCAATCTTTGCTTTCATATCATTTATCCACCTAGGATCTTGATTGGCTTCAACATATGTAGCAGGTTCTACAATAGAGGAGAAGGCTGCAAGGTAAGCTTGGTATTGAGGAGACAAGCCACTGTAGGAGACATAGTTTGCAATTGCATATGGTACAGACTCATGTACATTCAGTGACACAAAGTCCTTCATCCAAATAGGAGGATTATTTGGTCTAGAGGATTTTCTAACTTCTTCTTCTATATCTAAGGGGATAGATGGAAATTATTGAGTTAATGGAACCTGCACTTGACCCTGATCAGAACTTTCTCAAGTTGAATGAGCTAAGATTTATTCTCCTTCACTCTCACCTGCAGCACCATTGTCATGAACACCCTCATTTGTATCTCTATGCACATCTCCTATATCTGAGTGTGTCAACACAGCCTCATGCTCACTGTTGTGTCCCATATCAGAAATAGTTGGGACCCCTGACAGTTCAGTATAGTCTGCAGGAACATCTGACTGTAGGAAGATTGGTAAATATTTATTTCTTGTATGTTTAAAAGGAAAGACAGTATCTTTGAAAACAACATCCTTGTTGACAAAGAAAGAATGATTAGTTAGGTTTAAAAGCACATAGCCTTTCTGAGTTACAACATATCCCATCAATACTGCTGGTATAGCTCTTGACATGAACTTGTCCTTCTCTTGAACTGCTTTGGCATAACATAAGCATCCTAGTACTTTTATATGTTGTAGTGAAAGTTTTTTGTTGTGCAGCTTCTGCAAGGGTGACACCCCATTAATAACTAAAGAAGGCATCTTGTTGATTATGTGTACTGCAACTAGTACACAGTGTCCCAGTATTTCAGGGGTATGTGAGCTTGAAATCTCATTGCTCTAGCCACCTCTGTAATATGTCTGTGCTTCCTCTCATCTACACTATTTTGCTGAGTGGTATATACATAGGTTCTCTGATAATCATTTCAAGATTGCATAAATAGATCACTGTAGGTTGAATTCACAAATTCCAATCCATTGTCTGTCCTGATAATCTTGACACATTTGTCATGTTGTGTTTTTACATAATACAGAAAGAACTTCAAGACCACACATACATCTGACTTATAATTTATCAAAATAACCATGTCATTCTAGAGAAGTCATCCACCAAAGTTAGGAAGTATTATTTCCATCAAATGTAGGTACTCTATAAGGACCCTATACATTTGCATGTATCAAATTAAAATATTCTGTGCTTTTAATGCTACTGCTAGGAAAGGGAAGTCTAGTATGTTTAGCTAATTCACGTACATGGCAATTGTCCACAGCTGTGACACAATTCTAAGTTTTAACAGGGAACAATTTCTTTAATACTATAGAAGATACATGCCCTAGTCTCTTATGCCACAAGTCAATATCCTGCTTATCTTTAAGTTCTGTAGTGTCCATTAGTGTTATTTCTGGATTGCTCTTATTTGTGTAAGGGATCAACATATAGAGGCCGCCATGTTCCTTACCAATATTCTTCACCCTCCCACTGTAGAGATCTTGAAATAGGCAAAAATCGGGATAAAGAACAACACAACACTGTAAGTCTTTGATTGCATTGGATACTGAGAGTAGATTATATCTAATCGTGGGACATGTAGGACATTTTTTGCTATACTTCTTGCTGATATTGGGCTAGTACCCATGTGTGAAACATAAACTACATCTCCATTTGGCATATGCACCTTCTTAGGATTACTAGGTTTGATCTCTTATGATTTAGATAACAACTTTAAATCAGACACCATATGATTTGTAGCCCCTGTATCAATCGTTCATTATGGAGACTAATCACGCCCAGCTCTAGTCCTAAAAAGGATAAGCGGTCGCTGCAAATATAATTCGGTCTATAAGTCCGGAGTCGAATCCCACAGAGAACTAAGGCTTAGCTATATCTGCTTAATATCACTAAGAAGACAAGTTTGAATAATTTTCTAAATTATAAAGATTGAGATTTATATTTCTAACTAATTAACTAGCAAACACTGCAAAACGGTAAAATTATCAACTAACGAGACAAAGGGTTGGAGACTAAATTAAGGAGGTCTAGAGTTATGATTATCCCAATTGTCGGAATCCTTCTAGCTATGTTCCCTACAATTTTGCCAATGTATTCTCTACTGATCTTGAGCACTTTAGGTGCCGTAATTCTCTCTCGAGCAACTACAATAATTTACTAGACATATTCTCTCGAACTACGCTAGTTGGCTTTATCTAACCGCTCATTATGACCACGTCAAGGCTTTATTATTTCTAAACCTGCCTTTAAACCGCTGTATTGATTTCTCACATATGTTAGGAGTGACGTTGTTCAACAACCACCTAAGTATGTATCATTTCTCAAGCAACACATAATAAATAGGCACAATCAATCGATGGCCATTATGAACTGAAATAAACACGTAGCTGAACAAATAGAAAAGTTCAAAGGCTAAATTATATTAAAACCTAACAAGAATTCATCCTACAAAAGGTTCAATCAAAACTCTAGATAACAAATTAGCTATTCATAATAGTATGTAAAACTACAATACTAAAAGTCATAACCAATAATGAAAATAGGAAGAAGGAAGTGAAAAACTCGTAGAAAAATTCTCCGCCTTGCTCCTAGTGTGTTCTTGCCTCCTTAGGTCAAATCTCCGGTCTCCTTGGCCTCCTTAGGTCTAAATTGTGTCAAAATCGTGTCCAACCTCCTCAAAATAGCGTTATTCCATGTATATATACCAAGTAGGGTCAGGCCCAAATAATTATACCTTCTCATACGCGAAAAAGGATAATTTTTCAGGTCTGGACGCTCGCGGTCGCGGTCCGGGCGCGGTATTTTCCCAGTGCACTGCCTCAGTCCGCGTCCAGGTCCGCTGTCGCGGTTTCGACTAAGTTTTTCACCATGTTCCGTTTGGAATTTTGAAAAACGTAAAACATAAAAGTTGTAGCCCTTTGAGTTAGAGTGTAATAATCGACTAAAATACGTAATTATATCCTATCATCAGAGACATATTACTTACTAATAAAACACTACTAGTACCTATAGTGTATGCCATATTTGCTGAGGGAGCAGTTAGAGAACTTTTGTTCAGCATTTGTAAGATATGTTCATATTGTTCCTTAGTAAATGTACATGTTACTGGTTGTCTTCCTGATGGACAGTCTCTTGAGGTTGAGGGCTGCCTCTGCATTTGTACTCTAGGCTGAGCTAAAGTCTGCATTTGTTGAGTCTGATTCTGCACCTACATTACTGGTTGTACCTGAGTATAGAAGGTATGTTTTGGATCTTCAATACAAACATTATAAGTAGCAGCTCCTCCTTTCTTCTTAGACTTGAAACATTGTGGATAACCAATAATCTTCCAGCAATTCTCCTTGTTATTCTCATTCTTCTTACAGAAGTCACAATAGTCACTGTAGGTTTTCTTCTACTTAGAGTAATTTCCAGACTGTTGAGAATTGTTTGGATGAAAGTTATTAGGCTGAAAGCTGTATTGGAAACCATTGGATTTGGATTAATACAGAGCAGTTGACTCATTGTTGACACCCAATTTTTCCCTACATATATTTTTCAATATGCAAAATACTTTCAAAACAACATATATATGCATATATAAGTATATCCAAGTGTTTTATTATTTTTCACAATTTTCAAAGATTTAAATCGATTTGTTTTTCCCTTTTGTTATTTATAAAATCTCAATAATTACTTCCAAAACTATCATTTTGGTAATTTACCTATTGTATTCTCATGTTTATGTTAAAATATAGCCAAGGGAATTTTTATACATTTTTTACAAATTTATTTAGTATTTTTAAAGCTAAATTGCATATAATTGCAATATTAGCTTCTTTTAAAATTTAGTTGCATTTACGTTCGCAAGATTAGGTCCGGTACTTTTAAATAACTAATTATGTACTATAAATTCTTTTGGTACCTTTAATTTATTTACAGAAATTATTTTATTATTTTTATAAATTAAAATAGGGAAAAGTGGCTATTTAAATTATAGCCAGATTGGCGTTTCAATTACAGCCTAAATTAAACTCAACCCAGCCCAATTTCTTTCTAAATTACCCGACCCAGGCCCCAAATACACCTACCCGACCCAGAACTAATTAAATCATGGCCGTTGATCTGAAAGATCAACGGCCCGTATTGATTCTTGCTTTTTTAATCCTAAACCACCCCCAACCCTAATCATTTCCCAGAATCTGCTGCCCTAAGATCCTCTCCTCTCTAAGCAACTCTCAACCAACCCTAGCCGTCAACCGCCGACTTCCCATCTCCGGCCATCTCTGGTCACCTCTCATCGTCTCTTAAGCCTTCAATGGCTTCTCTCATGCTATGCTTGTCTTCTCTAAGGTCTTCAAAGGCCCGGGGCCAT